CAGCCGACACCAGCCCTTGTTTCGTCGGGAACACCTGTCCCGCAACACCGGTGATTATCCCGCAGACACCTGTTCCGCCGGGGGGTCCTGCCAACGTACCCTGTCCTCCTCCTTTTGTTGGACCAGCCGATACCTGTTCCAGTCGGGGGTCCCGCCAATACCTTGTCCTGTCCTGTTTGGGATCCGTCTACACCAGCCCTTGCTCTCCGTCGGGGGTCCCAACTGACACCAGCCCATGTTCCGTCCAGGGTCCCGTCTACGCCTGTCCCACCAGGGGTTCCACCAGCTCCTGCTCTCGATCCCAGTGCTCCGCGATCCAGCTGACACTGGATGGGTCCCCATTGCGGTGTACGTCGTCCTCCGGAGCTGTCCCATCCTCCGTCCTGCCAGTCCTCCAGAGCTATCCCGTCGCCGCCTTCCTGCCCTGCCCTCCGGAGCTGTCCCGTCACCGCCTTCTTGCCCACCTTGTGCCCGGCCTCCTGAGTTCCCCAGCGGCTTTCGCCCTCGAGCCCGGCCCCCTGAGTTCGCCTGCTGTGGGACGTCTTGAATCCATCCCTTGGGGGGGGGGGGGGGGGGGGGGGGGGGGTTGTGTCATGATTTGAGTTTTTGTGTGTTTTGGGTTTATTTGAAATTCTGTTCTCCCTGTGTCTGGTCTTCCTTCCTGTGTTTTGCCCTCCTGTGTCTGATTGTGCCTCATTGTGTTCACCTGTTGCCCTTGTGTTTCTGCCTCCCCTGCCCAGCTGTGTCTTGTCCTGTGATTAACCTTCTGTGTATTTAGTCTTGCCTTCCCCTGTGCTCCATGTTGGTTCGTTGTATTTTCTCACTCTCCATGTTAGTCCACTTACCCTCATGCTACCTTGTTTCGATTCACCGTTTTGTCTTGTTTTTTCATGCCAACAGCTTTGTTTAAATAAAGCTTGCTTTTGTTTTGAAACCCGCTTCCCTTATTAACTGCATTTGGGTCCTACCTTTTCCCGAATCGTGACATCTATCTATAATAAATAGATATTTAGTTAAAAATGTACTGTAACACTGTAATCCTGCTAGTAATTCAATTTGTTTTAAATTGCAACAGTAATCTGATTACTTGTTTTTGTAATTGTAATTGAAAACCTTTTTTTGTATCCTGAGGTATTGATTAATCTCCAAGCCTGAATGTACTATTATAAACAACTACCTTTACACTATGGTGTATGGGCGACTCTGAGTTCACACCACATGGACAACTGAAAAAGAGTTTACATGCAAAAAAAATAAAGCTTCAAGGTTCTTTATTGTCAAACTAACATAGCAACAGAGTAATTATGTCGTTGAAAATCTTAGGTCACAGGCTTCTCCAACAATGCAACACAATAATACGCAACCAAGCCTGCCTGGTTACATCTAAAAAATAATTGACCTTTGTGTATTTATATTTATGTATGTTGAGGACAAAGCTGGGTAGAAGGAAGTTAAAGTCTTGACAAAGCTTTGCTGAACATAGTGATCTTCTTAAGGACGTACTACAGAGAGATGGAGGGTGTGTGTGTGTGTGTGTGTGTGTGTGTGTGTGTGTGTGTGTGCATGCGTGCGTGTGTGCGTGCGTGCGTGCGCGAGAGTGAGCGAGAGCGAGCGAGAGAGAGATTGATTGATTGATTGATTGAAAAGTGTATTAACAGCTTGTATATTGGGTACAGTACAGTTAAGCTCAAAACATACAATTGTTAAGGGGATGCAGACCAGAGAAAGACTTTCGTCTTGTTTACATCAGGGTCCCCCATTTCCAATTCATCATATCATTTACATATAAGACATATAAGACATATTTGACATACAGATGGCTTATTTACAATTTACATACAGCTGGTTTTTTACATACAGATTGCTTATTTACAATTTTCATTTTAGATTTTGTTCTAATACATCCTAACCGGACATTTAAGACATACCAAGTCTACAGATATACAGTTAGTAACAGAGTCTAAAATGCGAGTATATACATAGATGGGGGGGGGGGGGGGGGGAAGCTGTCCATTGAACGACAGGTTGAGATTTGTACCATTAACCCGGGGCCAGTTTTTGCAATGCTCTCTCCCCGAAGGTGCTCTTTAAGAGAAGGTTTTGAAGGTAAGTATAGTTTTACTTTCCTTTACAGTTGTGGGAATAACGGCAAATGCTGCGGCTGCAATGCATTGTGGGGCAGCATTTTCTCCTCTCCTTTCGGCAAGGGAGGTCCAGTGGTTCCTAAGCTAAAGGAGGTTATAAAGGAAGTTTGAAACTTCCTTTCCTTTCATTTGGAGAATTGGAACGGCACTTATCATGGCTGCCACTGACGTACTTCCGGGTCATTTCACTTGGTTAGGAAGGTTCCTAAGCTAAATGGACTATTGGAATGGGCCCTAGGGCTCTGGGAAAAACGATAGACGCATCCCGGCCATCCCGGCATGCATAAACCACGTGACCGGCTGGCGGCGGCATCAAAGAGTGTCGTAACCAGGGCCGTATCCAGGATTTCCTAAATACCGAGGTCCAAACATGCTAGGGGGGTTTGGGGGATACCCCCCGAGATTTTTGGGATTTTCATGATCTAGTTATGGTGCTTTTTAAGTCCTATGGGGGGGTCACAAATTGGATAATATATCGATTTCAAACCATGTCAGTGGGCTGACAATGTCAGCATCAATTATTTTGAAAGTGTAATACATAATAAGAATCAGTTGATTGTTACTATTAATGATCTGGACATGCAGAAGAGGCTAAAATGATCACAAAACATTGTCAACATCAGTGGCGAGCCGTGACTTTTATACCTAGGCCCTCTGACCCCCACCCCTTCCCTCGAGTTATTACGTCACAGCGTATACTTCAGCGGAATATCAAAACAACGGCCCGGGGTGCAAAACGCATCAATGAAAGCGACCCTCTACCACACAAAACAACACCTGTAAATAACCCTATTTGTGTTCTTTGAAATTGAAAAGGATATTGCATTGTGTTTGTTACTTTCGTTGCAGTTGTATGTCTTAAGTGTATTTGGCATGCTTTTATTTTGAAGGCGAGTTAACGCTGTTGACAGGAAGTTGTTGTTGCTATGGAAACAAGAAACGTTTCACAGCGGGCGGAACTTGTCATAAAGTCCGTGATAATAACACCCACCCATTTAGCGGGAAGATATGATTGGTCAATTGTACTGTCATTTGACATTACTCTCTCGTTCAGTACTATAGCGGGGGCCCTCTGTGAATTCATAGCTGGACCGCCTGGACGTCCAACAGCTCCTCTCTTCACAGTAACTTGCAGAGACGAGCTTCTTTCATTTAACTCTTCACATTCCAACATAAACTGAATAGGCAGATTCTAAGGATTTATTTCTTTGGAAATGTTATTGTAATTACAATTAAATCAAGTTATTTTGGTAAAACTAATGAAAAATATAACTAAAAAAAATATATTAAAAAATATATAATTTGTTTTAATGTTTTTAAATATTATTTTGTAGAATATCTTAGGCCCTCACAGAGGGCCCTGACGGCTCGCCACTGGTCAACATTCATTTTCCATGTCTCTCTCCTTTCCATAACCTACAGCCTCTCTTCCATCTTCTTGAGTCTCTCTCTGTCTTCTTCCTGTTCATTACTCTCTCTGTCCTCTACGCTTTCTCTTTGTTCAATCTCTCCCTCCTTGTTCACTTTTTGATCCTCTTCACTTGTCGCTCCTGCCAGTGAATCAAAAGCAATTCAGTTCATTTCACTCGTTTGTTTGCATTCTTTTTTTAAATTTAAATCTGTTTTGTTTGATTCTCAAAAGAGAACAAAGATGTAAGCAAATTGTGTTTATACAATTCTATGTTATTATGACATCATAACTGCAATAGATGTATGTTTTAAAATTATGCCTATTGTAAATGAAGACTATTGTTATAGATAAATAGATAGATATGGGGTTGTTAAGCCTACATTATTTTTGTGTGACTATACCTGCAGTTCCTCCCTGACTTCCATCACTTTCACTCTCTCTATTTCTCTCTGCCTGTCCTGTCTCTTCCTTACCAAAGCTGAGCTTTGACTGACGTAGTCTTTTCATTATATCTGAGTCAGTGTAAAAAGAAAACAATACAATGTTATATCTTCAATGTTTTACTCAAATTGAAATAAAAGAAAAGCATTACAACGTTTGTTAAAAGGTAATCCTTCTGACATTGGATGAATGTAATTAACTTTAGCTCTCTAGCTAGTTTATTCACGCAATTTAAACCAAAGTATAGCCTAAAGCTGCAATATAAGTTAGTGTGCATGTTGTCGGACGTCCACTGACTAACGTAGAGCGTTCACACAGGATCTGCTGCTCATATGATGTCCTGATGAACAGAAACACAAGTAGCCCGCTGGACTCAGATCTCTAGATACCTCATCACTCTTCCGCTGCTCCGGTACAAGTCCGGGCTGCGGTGATTTGTTGATACATGTCGTCTTCTTCTGTTTGCTTTAATCGAGGCTACGTAGTTATGCAGCGCCCCCATGGTCAGTAAATGGAAGTACTACAAAGAACCCCGTTTAGTGCAATTATTTCACAAGTTTTGTTATACACAGCTCGGAAAATATTACCGAGGTCCGGACCTCGGTGACCTCAATGGTAGATACGGCCATGGTCGTAACCGTAATTTATCACTGAACTACCTCCATAGACTACCTCTCATACATGTGGTGCTTTTATGTTTGCACGGAAAGGTGCTATTCCTTTTTTACAAAGAAATAAAAGCCTTAGTTGTGAATCGTAAAGTGGTGTATTTTAATTAACATGGCTTCAGTGTGGAATAAAAGTTTGAATACGTTTAAATATAGGCTATTAATTAATCATCCACGTAGTTTTTTGGCTACGGAAGTCATATTTCCCACAGTACCCAAATGCAACACGTATGGGCAGTGAGCATCGTGATTTGAATGAACAGACCAATCAACGGCCTCGACGCTGGCTCTCCGTCACTCTTGCCCAATCACAGCGCAGCACCGTTGTTTGCCTTCCCTTTTTGAATTGTGCTCTAACAGCAGGCAGACGCCTTCTCGGGACTAATATGAAGTAGTTATCTGTCAACAAACTAACGCAGCAACATTTTGACAATTTTGAACGCATACAGATCATCATGCATTGACACCACACTTGAAATTCAACGGAGAAATGTTTCATATGTTATGATTGTTTTGGACCGAAGAGGACTTATCATTATTTCTTCATTGTAGAGTTGACTCGCTAGCTAGGTGGCTAGCTAAGTTAGCTAAAGGGCTTTTTGAATTTGACGGTAGCTAAATTTAGCTCCGCTTACTACATTTTTATTTTATTCTTTTTCTCTAAGGTACCAGCCACAGGTTGGTAAGTATAGTTTACTTTGTTTATTTATATTGTGCTGTTAGAAATGCATCTATCTTAACTTTAGCTAACGTCTGTTTTAACAACGTTAAGCAAGGGGAATTTGATGCCAGGTGTAACAGTCAACGTTAACTGGCCTAGTCTTGATATTAAGTTAGATATATCCTTACAGTTAAGTCCCCTGTTGGCTAAATAATGATTGTGTTTACTATATTCCACAAAGAATGTCTTGAAACACCCAAGAGGGAAAGGTAACTATGTTGGCCATTCCTAAACCGACTAACATAATAACGCAATAAGGGTGTTTAGTTTGGATATAAGTGTTCATTACATGTGACATGTTTTTCCACAATGCTCTTTGTCATTTATTCGCCAAAATCATAATTTTGGGTGTTTTTTTGTCAGCACTGAGACTTGCACAACTTATCTGCATTCACAAGTGCTTTTCATTAAGCCCAGTATAACCTCTTGCATGGCTGCTGGTATGTAAAACAAACTATAGTTTAACACATAAGTTTAATTATTAGATTTGTTCCACCATGCCAAAGTTATCTTGGTTGCTTTGTTGCTAATCGAATTATAACGTAGGCAGGGTTTGTGTTTGAAGTCATGCAACGTTATGTTTCTTGACTTGAGTTTGACAGTTGTCACCCTTTTCTTTTCCTCCTGGTTCCTGTACCTTCTCTTCTCTGCCTTGCTGTTTTCTCCCTCTGTTCTTTCCCTGTAACTTTTGATAGTTTGGACGGTTCCCTGCCTCCATAGGATCCTGCCATGGCTGACAGCAGCATACTAACTTTAGGGACAGCTCGAAGTCTGTTGCTGGATTCTTCAGTCTGTGATTCGAGGATCGGCGAAACCACCAAGGAACATGTGTTCCTGGGCATGGCATATGAAGATGGGGAAGGTCAGTTTTCAGGGGTTACCCATTTTTCCTCCACTCCCTCCTCTCCCATCATTTCCTCCCTCTTAACACAGTATATCTAAATACCCATGCGCAATCAAATTTCAGCGTAGAATATATCCTCTTTAGTGTGTAATCTCATCCTTTCCCTATATTTGTTCAAGCCTGTTTGTTTTCAACCGAAAACACCATAATTAATACATTCATTGATTCAAAAAATGCATTCAACTTCTCATATCAGACTATAGATTCATAGTAAAAAATAAGCAGGTAAAATATGCCAGTAGAAAACAGCGTATGCAATCATTTGTGTCTACTTAATGTTCCAGGACGTGGAGTTTTATATCATATGTAATGCATTCGTGGCACAAGTATTATTACGTCTGTTGGCTCTAACTCTTGCTACCCATTAGTCAGACTGGCTGTGCTGACGTCATCCATGTAATACGAAATAAACCTTATTTAGGGTGCGCCAGTGGAGCACGAGCAGCGTTGGCAAATGCTGAACCATAGTGGCAGACAATCAGTGGTGGACTATAACTAAATATGTTTACTCAAGTACACTACATTTATTTCACAGATTTTGATTATTAATACAAAATCTATATGAACTAATATATCATGCATTGTTATATGTTAAGCCACACAGTAGTATAAAAGGTCATTTAAATAAACCCCACTTTGACCAAGAGCAACATTTAAAAATGATGAACACATTATTGCATCAAGAATTATAATAAAACAATTGAAAATATATAATGCCATTCTCCTTAACAAGGACTTGTACTTTTGGTACTTCTTCCAACTGAGCAACAGGAACAAAGCTTTGACGCAGTCCGTCGTTGTTGTTATGGTCGTGAGGGGTGTTCATGATGGCGTTACTGATAAAAAGCATGGTGTTTGTTCAACTTGGGCACCAACTGCAAACCAAACTAGCACCAGCAGGGAACTAAAACAGGACTAATTTCAGCGGAAAACCCTTATTGATATTTCATGGTTTGGAGGAAATGTTAGAGAACCACCTTTCAGTAAAACACAACACTGCTGAACATAAACTATATTCAAAATGTAGAATCAACACCAATCATAAACAGTTCAAAGTACAATTAAACCTTATAGAATATTAGGACATATATAGGACTTTATATTAATCCTCCTCACAATTTCTTCATTAATGTTAAAGGTGTACTGGCTGTGCTGATAAGGAAAAAAGTCCAAGAGACAGTCTACCACTTTTCATCCCCCTTATTTGCCCTTGTTCACTATGTCTCTCTTCATTTCTCTCAGACATGCTGCCAAAAGTGGAGACGAGGGTTATTCTTGTGGGAGAAGCTGGCAGAAATGGAGCGCTGGTCAAAGCACTGCAGGTACATCATTCCTATATTATTCCTGAAGGTCTGCTATTAGGTTGGCGGCCTTCACAATTTCAGCTTGTCAACATCACTGCTGTTCTTTGTTCGATAACTAGGACATGGACACTCTTTTTTTTGTAAAGGACAATCTGGATGCTTTAAACTTCCATAGAGGGAGAACTTTTTTCCATTGTTTGTTACATTTTTTCAGTGTTTCCACCCGCGGGTGTCGGGGTTGGAGAAATGCATCCTAAGCAGCAAAAAAAGTTATACAAAAATCCTCAATGGAAGTTGGTATAGACTTGAGTTTAAAAAATAATTCCTTGTGCAGCTAGTTGATTATTCCTCTGTGTTCTTTGACAAAGGAATCTTTCAGCATCTGCTTTCAGCCACAGATATGAAACATTGTTATTTTTAAATCTAAAATGTGAAAACCTTTGTTTTGGATGGATTTTTGATCGGCCACAATGCAATACTTTATTGCATAACTTCTGGCTTTTTTAAATGTTGATGATTTTTCTCTTTTTTTTACTATCTTGTAGACCAAACTATTCATTGTAAAACATCTTTTGTAGATTTAATTGATAGTGAAATTCAATCAATTGCAGCCCCAAAACCAACTCGATTAGAACATTTACCTTATTTTGTTGAAAGTAATCATTCTTATTGCCCTTTTAATAATTCTTATGAACAATATAGCTAGTGACTAATGGACTTTTTGTTTCTGAAAGTCACCTTTTGCTGCCACAAGAAATCCACAATAGGCCCCTAAATATGTAGTTGCACATTACGGATGGCACTTTTCCAGACCCACATGAAGTTTAATGTCTCGGAGAAAGGAAGGATCTTTTCCCAAGTGATAAATCTGGTTTAACACTTTTACCTGGTCATATATATGTTTTTCTTGCTGCTGCATGCTGAGAGGCATCTGAGTGCCTCAGTTAGTAGTTACCCTTTTTTTTTTAATTCTCAATGTTGTACTTGTTTAGCCTACAAAAGAAACATCTTTATTTTTGAGTTTATGTAAGGGAGAAGTGCACACACCTTCTTACAGTCTGTTGCTGTGCCTCACAAGCTGCCTGTCTGTCTGTGGAGATAAGGCATGGTAATACAGGAGTCTGGGTGTAATATTTGACAGCCTGCAGAGCCTCTACACCCTACAGTATTAAAGTGTAGCTTTTGCATTCAAATGAGTGACTTGTGATTTCCGTTAACAGCTGCTAGCTGTTTCTGGTTTGTTTACATCCCAGTCATTCTCCGCTCCCTGACTGCCATATCAGCCCAACAAAGATTATAAGCTCGCTACACAGCTCAGTACACAACCCCACCAAGCCTTACATCAACTGTCTGAAAACAGAGAAGGTTATTTCTTCCAGTTTGCTTAAAATCTTTGCAAAGAATCAGACGAATAAGGCAATTCATTGATATAATCATATGACTGGGCCTCCCCGGGTGCATGTCCTCTGTGGCAGTCTGACATTTCGCTGCGCTTTCCGGATTTTGCTGCTTTCCAGGGCAAAATTAGCAAACCTCTTACCTGCTGCGTTATATTCTAGAAAGTACATTTGTATTGATGATCAACCTCCCAGTGTTGACATGTTTCCTTGAAACAAACCAAAAGTATACCTGGTCAGGCTGTTGAAACATACAGCATACAACATCCTGTCAGAATGGGGACACTTCCCATGGGGAAAGGTACATGTCTATCACTGCGTGTTTGTGTCTGCCCCAGTAAGCCGCCCAGGTTTCTGTCTTTGAGTAGCGCCATGTGAAGGTGATTTGAAGGCGTGGCGGAGACTTAAGTGCTGCGAGAATGACTTCTCCCCAGGTCTCCCGAGGCTGTCACTTCTGAAGGCTCCCAGCTTAAATCATCTATTTCTCCCTGCTAATCAGCCACACGGCCACAACCAAAGACATCCGCCGCCAGCTCCATCAGAGCTCTCTCGATTGCCTGCCTGACCGCCCGCTGCCATCACTCATGCAAGCCACGGAAAAAGAGAAGCCCCCCTACCATTCCTTTGCGCCTGTCCTCGTTTTTTCCTCCCCTTCCTCCTCGGGGGTTTGAACTTTTATATACATTTTTAAGAGAAATTCCATCTCCTCCCCAGCCCACCCCCTGTGAGGCTTGATACTCGTTTGAAGTCACTGTCTTAGGACTTTGCAAGGACACGGACCCCAGCCTATCTCTTCCACTCCGCCTCCTTTCTGAATCCTAAAACCTGGCCATCCTAGCTTTTGTCCGCAAGTCCTGGTTAATTTATATGAATTTGTCCGTGGCTTTCTCTTTTTGTCATTCTCTTTCTCAACCTTCTGTCCTTTCCCTCCTTTGAAATACCAGTGTTTGACATCCACTTCCTGCTGGTTGGTTTTCACAGGCCATCAGAGTAATGGAGGTACCGGTGGTAAAGATAAGAGAAGGGGAGGCAGGAGCCGAGGAGAAAACCATGATAAAATCTCTAGTCAATATGGTACAGTACGCTGTCTGCCTCTCCGTGTTACTGTCTGACACTTTGATGGGGACTGGGATGTGCTGCATGACTCTTAATTCACACTGGGTACTCACTCAATCACCGTGCATGTCCAAATCACTGATATGGAATTAATTGGTGGGTGGATATTCAAATATATGTGATGTAATACTTGATAACGGAGATTTGCACTCAAAAAAAGAGTAATATTGAAGTCATTTAAGATCATTTCTTCATTGCATTTGAAAATGGGCAGTTTCCATCTGTTAAAAGTTGCAAGAAGACCCATTTGATGCTAATTTAATTAGAAAGGTACTTAACAATGTAACTAAAGCTTTGGATTTTTGAGTGTCCTCTCCTGTTAAAATGTGAATTATGTGTGAATTAGCTTCCTCTCTGAGACTGAGTTAAGAAGATTGATAACAATCTCAACTTTACATACCTAAAGTCAGGATGTGGTAAGAATTTGTTCCTCTGGCCTTCATCAAGTCTGCAGCTACAGTGTGGTTTGCCAGATACATTTCTGTGTATGAACACATAAAACACACAAAATAAGACATGTTCACTAGCTAGCTATAGAAGCATTCGTAGGTGTATTTTTTTTAAACATTGGACAGAACAAAGCCATCTGTTTGAACTTGATTCAGATTTTAAGCTAAGCGAGGGTAACATTGGTATCAATCTTCTCATATCACTTTTAGAAATGAAGCCATAAGATGTTTGTACCATAATGCTTAACTATTCTCACAGTTCTCTAAAGGTATGTGGATCGTAACATTGTAATAACCAATGTAATTCTAACTGTGTGTATGTGTCACTTCACTTTCTTCTTTGTCATCTACTGGATGTAATTTGTCTTTTATGCAGGTTTACAGGTATTCACTCCGGCACTTGATTCAAACAGTTCTATTCTGTTTCAAATGAGCACAATCTCTCCTTTTACAGTGCAGCGTTGATTGTTTTTCTGCAGCACTGAGAATGCTTTGTGTACGGCACAGAGAGAATAGTATGTGCGTGTTTCTTTATGTGTAGGAGTGAATGACCCAGAAGAAGAGTATTTACTACACATATTTTTCTTGATAGTTTCAAGATGTCTGTAATGGTATTGACAGATTATCTGACCTTAGTACATTGTCAGGAAGGACACATATTTAACAGAAAACAAGGACAATCTTAATTAAAAAAACAGCTTACTGACTTTTTACTTCTTGTGATGCAACATATATAATGGCAATGGCCTGCACTTCAGTAAAGAACTAGGTCGAATTCAACAGTCTCGAAAAGGTTGTGCAATTTAAGTCTTAGTGTTTAATGATAGTTTAATTCCAGCATAATCAATTAGTTTCCTCTCTCTAACGTTTACCAATAACAGGAAAAATGCTTATAATATAAACCAATCAATTACAACCAGCCTCACTAACAAGGCTAACCAACCCTTGATTCACTGCTAATTTGCTGAATAATCGCACTCTTCTGTATGTTGCATTACCTTTAGTTGTCCATCGTGAACTGTTCCGGTACTAAATCCTGTGATTCTTCCTATTCAGGACATCAACACCCCTTACATTATGACAGACAGCATCCAGGAGTTTGCAGATGGAGAGAACACTGATTTTGAGACGGTGTTCGTCCTCACAGACTTTGATTCTCCTGACTACAGCTACCTCTACAAACGGGACAACCGCATCGTCGGGCCTCCTGTCGTGCTGCGCTGCGCTGCAAAGGGGGAAGTAAGTAACTGATTCACCACATATTTATTAGAATCTCTGGGGCATGAAATGTTTCACAGACATGTATTCTGGAAGAAATGAATCTCAGCAGAATATCTCAAAGTGGAATTTCCCCCCAAAAGCTGTTCCTCTTAAACCTTTTCAACCTGAAATTAAGAATATATTGAAATGTACTTGAGTGGAGGAACCACCAGATGCAGGCCTTAAGGCCCGGACACACCAATCTGACACCAAAGAACTGACACAGACGGACCCCGACTGTTGCGTCTCTGCGTCTTGGCCATGTGTCGCACTGGAACACAAAGACTTCAGGCGACGGCCAAGTAGCACGTACGAACTGCGCATGCGTGAGTCGCAATAACTCTCCTTACCAGCAGGCGGCGGTAGTGTGTATTCTTGATTCAAAACAGGCAACAACCGGGAGACAGACTGTGTGATACACCGAGAGAAGAAGAACAGACTGCGTGATATAAACAAACAATAAATAGCATGTGCGTTCCATTTTCACTCTACAGCGAGAAGCTCGTGGGGCTTTCCCGAACCTGTGTCGAGAGCTGGAGTTAAATGAAATCTCAGATTTGCCTTCTTAATAGTTTGTTTGGGTCCCTCACTTCCGTTTCACTTCTCATGCACTGATTGGCTAGCTGAACAGCCAATCAGAGGGATTTCTTTAGCCGACGGCCCGGCTGAAAAGACCCGACGGTGTGGGACACACCAATCTGAGTAGGGCGTGTCGACGCTCATCGTCGGCCTGACGCCCACCGACGCCGATAATAGGTAAACTAAGGTTTGGAACGGGGTGATGAACAGCTGTCTGTCTGACAGAGACTTTACATTGGATTCTGATGCAGAACATGAACAATAGGTCCTGACTGTAGCTCCTATTAAAATGACCGCAACCTCACATTTGTCAGCAGAAGACAGGACAGATATACATGCAGGTCTAGACTGCGTTACAGGGTATCTTAAAACGGTATCTTTAACAGTTTTTTTCCGTATGGCAACTATTCTGTTGAATTCACTATTTATGTTCATTTTTTTGTTAAAAACTCAAGAGTACCAACTCATCGAGGAGAATAGAGTGGTGAGGTGATGATGCATTTGTTTAAAGGACCAGGCAGTGAATATAACAAAGGCTCCCTCAGCTAAGAGCTGAGACAATTGGATTGTTCCTTTTGGATTTTGGAATATTGAAGAAAATAATGTCTTTTGCACGCAGAAGTAGGGCTGTGCGATTATGGCAAAAATCATAATCACGATTATTTGGTCAATAATTGATATCACGATTATTTTGACGATTATTCATTGACCATTTATTGAACTTTAAAACAAATAATATTTTACCAATAAACAAGATCAATAAATGTGTTGGAGCGCACTTCCAAAACCATACTAAATATATATTAATATGATAAATAAAAATAAATTAGACCAAAATAAATGAAATCAAATATGTTGCAGTGCACTGTCACAACCTACTGAAAACTCCTTAACATATAGCCAACATTTTGGTAAAACATATTCAACATATTCCACTCAGTTAAACGTTGAAGGCTGGCCAACCGTCATGGTCCAGAAGTAACAGGAAATAAATGTTGAACTACAATTTAAGACCAAATAAAAATGTTTTAGTCACCATGGCAAATGCTGGTAGGGCTGCTCATGTCATCTCTTAAAGATTTGTTGCAAGAAACACCAGGCTGTTTACATGGTCTGGTTTCAGAGATGAGCGCAGGCAGGTGACGATATTGCCACTTGTACTGAAGACCCTCTCTGAAGAGGAACTTGTGGCAGTGCTGCCACATATGACACAGGAAAAAAAGAAAAGACTCTGAAGAACCCTTTCTTTGCCATTATATAAAAATAGTGTTGCTACAAAAGTATAAATTAGGCTTACTAATAAGACAACTCAGATCTGAAGCTACACAGTAATCTGCTGCAGCAACAGTGCAATAAAAAAGACAACATTAATAGAATCAAACCCATTTTTGTTGCATTTTATTAGAGTATAAAAAGAAATGCCTTTAAAATAGGATGCAAGCAACACTAGTTTCTGAACTGATAGACTATAATCAATTTAAACAGAACAGATCTTAATGTTTGCATTCTTATACCATTTTGTACAATAATTATCATGAATAAATTCAAACAAACTAAAACTTACAGCTGATTAATAACGGTATCTAAATTGAGTTTTTATTATATCAAAAACCTGTTGAAATGCTGCTGTTATTTTTACTGTCCCACAAAAGCGCGTCGCAGCCTCCAGGAATGCTTCTTTCATAACTTCGCCGTCTTCGAAAGACTTCATGTGTTTCGCAAGAACGTGACTGACACGATAAGATGCTCTGGTAGCAGCCTTGCTCTTGTTGTTGAGCCTGGTGGAAATGGACTGCTGTGCATTTAGCTGTGCTCTCAGGCCCCTCCCCTTTTGGAGCGTAGGCAGAATTAGGAGGGAATTCCGTATCGTCTCGTTTGTGCACTGTTTTGAAATGCCGCTCCTAAATGACCCTTCTTCGATAAAGCCACGCTCGCATTGCAGATGAGACAGATGGACTTTGAATTGGAATAGATACAAAAATAATGATCCTCCCACTTGGAGTGAAAATTATATATTTTGGGCTTTTTTGCTTCTGCCATAATTGCGGTCTTGTGTGTGTGCGGACTGTCACTCCTGTTGACCATCCATGCTGTTGACACGGACAAAGTCAGCGAACTAGTGCACTGCTCACCAGCCACGCCCGGACACATGGGGTGAGGCCGGCCAATCACAAAGCTTTGATGCGTTCAAGTGCATTATTCTGGCACGGGAACATTATGTTACAGGACATTAACGATAAAACAGAATATTGTTGTTCTATTTTTAGACACATCTCGCGATCGACTGGGAATCTCCCCGCGACCCTTCTTTTTAACTAGTTGCTGCTCTTGTTCTGAGATCTTCGCTTGCGCTGAACACTCACAACACATGTCACTCCCACGTGGCCGAGTGGGCTTTTAGGGAGGGGCGAAAGCGCACCCAGCAAAATAATCGTATTTTGTCAATTATGCTGTTTTCCTAATCGTCGCAAGCCATAATCGTAATCGCGATTAAAATACGATTAATTGCACAGCCCTACGCAGAAGTTTTTTATACTTAAACTTGTTGTTCAGCAGGATAATCTCTACATACAAGCATAAAGGCTATCATAAGAAGTAAATAGCTATGCTATAAAGGGGTTACATCATGGTGACATGACTTCACGTCACCACCACTAAGCTAAAGGCGGCTAAAGCTGTGCATGGTTAGGTTTAGTCACTTGTAAGCAACCTCTGATTTTAAGACACATAACATCTTTACATTCACAGTGGCATATTTTATGTAATAGAATAAAATATATATTTAAAACAAAAGGGTGTTTGTATTTACCACATACCTTATTTTGCTAATTTAACCATAAACACATACACATTACTAAATTGCTAACTCATTACACGGTTGAAGAATCATTCCTGCACCACTCCATAGCTGAAGGACAGACTACCTCAACCTTAAGCTATTTTTTGCACTGCTAGGATAATCAGAACCCATTCAATGTTATTTATCATGATAAACACACACACACACACACACACTAGGGATCGACCGATATGGCTTTTTCAAGGCTGATACTGATTATACATTTGCAGTAAAATCAGAAAATCTTGGTGTCAAAATGTAGAATAACACAAACTCCAACACAACTTCTTTGAAATGCATTTAAGCATATATTATGTTTAATGAACTTGTAAACATCTTACAACTGGTTTCTTCTCTGTGCCCTTTTCTTTAGTGCAGCCATCTGCAATGAGTTAGAGAGAGACAAGAAGTGGGGCTGCAGGCTGACATGCTTAACTAACAATAATGCTTAATTTATTATATCAAAACAATGCCTGTCTATCTAGCATAAAATCCCAATAAGCTGCTAGCAACTGCAAAACACTAGTGCTAGCTAATGTTTTGCAAAATATTAAAAGTGAGGCTATTACAGTAGACCTAACTATACTCGGTCAAATGCGGAATATCGGTCGACCCCTAACACACACACTCACTAACTATTCTCTCCCTCCACCTACCTCACTGTCACTCATTACTGTACTGTGGGCAGAACTGGTTTTCAAGTCATGGTGTCAGATTAGCAGCTAAATAAAAGCATATTTATGAAACCGCCAGCACACACATACACACACTTATCTCCCTCTTTAACTGCACCTGCGTGTGTTAAACACAACCTGCACACTGAGGTATAACTTTAGTTAAATAAACATCTTGTAAAAATCACAAAAGATGCCTTTGCCCTGTGGAAACCCCGTACTTAAAGATCAAATGCAAAGATTTTTTTTATAATTGCCAGTAAAATCGAAATCATATAGCTACAACACTATCTAAGATATTGCAGTATTAAAATCGGAGATAATATGCGTCTGGCAATGCGTAATATTTATTTTGTTCAAGCCCCAACACCAAGTCCGACGATTTATTTCTCAGCCATTAAATACGCTCGTTACCAAATAAGGACTATGTGGGAGTTCCCCTCAATTCCATTGGCTCTGACGGTCAGAAAGATATGTCACATGTCAAAATCCAGCAAGGGGGGCCAGAGATATGGAAAATCCACCCAAATGGCCCCAGATGAGTTTTTTTTTGCTAAATCTGTCTAAAAAGGTAAAATATCACTTGTTTTGCATCAATCTTGATACAGGGTACATCCGAAAGCACAACAATAACCCATGTTTTGCGTGATTTCGCGGTTATAATTCAGAGTTTTCTGCACCAGTCATGAGCGAAAAACACCGCTGACATGTGAACAGCGCACGACACTGCCGAGTCGGGATATTTGGCCCAGAGACTGTTTGTACAAAATAACGTCACGCGCGCGGAGGCTGCTGGGAATGACATGTCAGAAATTCAGACGGCTTTGGTTCGAGTTTTGTATCAATAAAAAGTATTTTTTCGGGTGTATTATCTCGATTTAAATTAA